GCAGCGCGGTCGCCGTCGTGCTCTGGGTGAGCACCTCAGTCCCCTCACGGCCTTCAAGCGTTAAGCTGTTCGTTTGATGAGGAGCAGCGCCGTGTTGGAGCTGTAAGTGACCGTTAATCCCTTGGCGAGGCCTCGTGGCTCAGCAGGGGCGGGCAGCGCTGCTGGGGAGCTGGGAGCCGCGGCACGGCGGTGTCCTCGCAGTGCAGGGCTGGTAGGTGTGTGTGCAGACGTGATGAAAATCTGTTGTGAATCGCAATTAACAACTTCGTGTATTGCCATTGTGCAAAATGAGGTCTAGCGTTCTGACAGGGCGTGTGATGCTTTCTGTAAAATCCCGTTTTAATCAGCGATGACAGTTTGACATTTTTCCAGCTGTTCGGAAGCACCAGACAGTCAAGTATCTCAGTAGGGCACGGGTTGGCGTGCTGGGATGTGTAAGCTTTAACTTTCCTGGCTTACGATGGTGTTCGAAGAAAAAGCTTTCTGCAGGTTTCACTGAGCTTCTGCCAGCTGTGTTTGTAGCCTTGCCTGGGAAAAGTAAAATCTTCACTTTGGAAGCACATCCAGATGCTGCCAGCTCATGTTATCGTTCTCGGTTGCAAGGATTTGATTTATAAAACGTCCTGGTGTCTGTTGAACAATTGTTAATTGTGTGCGATTGAGGGATGTGTAAACAGCAATTAGAACCCAGTAATGCTAAGGCTCCTAAAGAAAATGACATCAATTTAAGGGAGCAAACAATGTTCCGAGCTGAATTTAAACCAAAATGAAGGCAAAAAATCTCTGAAGCAGCATTTGGGTATTGGCATAAAGTGTCTGGGCAAGCAAGTCCCCAGCAGGCAGAGAGAGGCTGCCCAGGTGTGGGTGCTGTGCCTGATGAGAGCACCTGTGTGATGGTAGAGGGCTTGAGCAAGGAGTGCTGCCACAGGTGTAGCCTTTCTGCATTTGGTGAGCTGGGGGAGGAGGTGCGGGTTGGTGTGGAAGGGAGGTTATTGGTTACTGAGCGTCTCCAGCTGTGTCCTCATCAGATCTCCTCATAGCTTGCTGAATCCTGCTGCCCTTTCTGTGTCTGTGGCTTTGGGTGCTATTTGGCCACCAGCTCTTCCTCTCTATCTCTGTACTCCCCTCCTGAAGTAGGAAAACATGGAAAACCCCTTCTTATAAATGTAAAAATAATGTCAAATGTACCCACAGTCCCACCATTGAAGCCATTCCTGCACAGAGCATTTCCATGTAGCTCCAGAAGGTTCCAAGCGTGCAGCTCTGCCATGTGCTCTGTAAGGGCACACACCTGGCTATCTGTGTTGCTCTGTGCCCAGCCCCTCTGCCTTATGTCCTACCATCCCTCACTCCTTGGTTTAGGCCCCTCTCCACTGCCTGGTTATTTTTTAGACTGTGGTTTCTGTGGAGCACTATGAGGTCTTAGCTCTTAGCACACTGTGGATGTGCACAACAGTCTCATCTATATAAACGATGAGGATAAATTACATTCAGATTATCAGTATTGTAGTGTGAGGGTACAAGCATAAAATCAATGCTATGGACCTAATCTGCATGCATAGTTACTGCAATTACGCAAAAAGAAAATCAAGATTTTGCTGATTGGTGGGAATGCTTAATGTGATGAACACTTACCAGCTGCTCAGCTTGGAGCCCAGGCACAGTGAGCACACTGTCTGTGCTGGGATGCTGGAGCTGGACCCTTGTGCTGAAGCTGCTGCTCCCTCTATGGCTACAGAGCTGTGTGTGGCTGGATTGTTTCTGGGAGTTTGTAAGTGTTGACCCAAGAGTTTTAACAAGTCGGTCCTTCGCAACTTCACACAGGCACTTGGCATTATTGCTGCATTTCTTCATGAGGAGCAGGCACTGAGCTGAGGAAGTAGTTGTTTAGAGGTGCAGAACTTGCACCTGCGGATGAAAACCTCTTGGAGAGATCAGAACTGTTTGTTGTGTTTGTTTTTCTGTATTTAATGCCTCATTGTTTGTTGTGTGTTGTTTTTTTTTTTTTTTTTTTTTTTTTTTTTTTTTTTTTATACTAGTTTTATGTTCTGGGTTGCATGGAAAAAACCCAGGACACTGAGATCAAGGAGTCAGAGATATAATCGGAATGTTGATGACTTATTTACAAATGTTTTCTCAGCCACGCTGCTTTAATTTCTACAGGATATCCTTTTCCTTCGAAGTCTCCAGAAATTACAGGGCACGCTGCTGTGGGGGCCATTTGTTAGGAGGCTGACAGGGTGAATTAGTCCAATAATCGCTGCTGAAGTCATGCACTACCTGCTGGTTTGGGTGTTTAGTTTGCGTGAGTTCTTCTCTGCAAAGGCACCAGTCTCTCAAATACAAATCATTTTTGATGCATTTCCTTGTTGATTGCTTAATCTTGTTTTAATATCATGTGGCGCTTTGTGCAGTGCGAGAGGTTGCTTGATTTTTTTGGACTCAAAATCCAATCTTCCCCCCCTGTTTAGATTGAAGATCATCGTGGCACAGGGAAGAAATGCTTAAATCTTTTAGTTTGAAAGTATCCTGGTGCTAGTTATCAGAGGTTTGGTTGCTCTGAGTTGAGATGTGCTGTTAGCCACATCCCCGGCTTGTCAGTCTGGTTACCAATGAAAGTGTGAACTTGCTCAGAAGCTCTGGTGTCTGCCTGCTTGGGTTCCTCCGTGCGGCTGTGGCGGCGTTCGCCCCCGAATCCCCGGGGCTCAGAAGATGATTAATGATAACAAAGCTCTCCCCATTGTGTGAGCGGATAGGAAGGAAGGAAGAGTACTCTAAAAAGAGAGTGCATAGAATTTCTGAGTATCGAAGTCCAGGAGCGGTTTAACCCTTGAGAACAGCTACACAATTTCCCCCAGTTACGCGAGGCAACGTGACCCTGATCTCCCTTCTGGTGGAACTTCTGCCCTCCTGCTGCTGCTGCAGGGCTTGCAGGGCAGCCCATTGCCAGCCGAGGTGACTGCCTGTGGTCGGGCACGCGGTGCGGCACACCCACAATCCACTTAGGTTTGGCTTTTTGAAATGTGTTAGAGATTTCTGCTAATGGGTTTTCCCCGTGGGCAGCATTACCAACCTGATTATACAGGTTTTAAGAAACTCTCTTAGGAAGATTCTTTTTCATCGTAAGTTTTGACATTGACCTACTAAACTGGGTAATTTAGCATTTTATTTTCTAAGAATGAAAATGAAAATTGAATATTTCATGACAAGAGAGGGATTACGAGAACGCCGTTCTATGTGAGAAGCCTATCGTGTCCAGGGGCCAGATTGTGCTGCTCAGATGTGTGCCTCTACAGGAAGACCTCAGCCCCTGCCTTCACAACCGCAGCAGGAGCACTGCAGTTGTGATATACCCACACTGCTGCTGTGGAAGCAGCTGTAATGCATGTGTTGAGTATGGCTTGGGAGTGGAGATGAGGTGCAAAGAAGACACATCCTCCCTATGGAAGAGCTTCTGTGGAGAGATGGCACTGCAGCCATGCTAGCTGCTGTAGGGCCATCATAACTCTGTGAGTATGGAGCAGTGTGGGGCCTTTGCATGGAGAGCTTTGGCCCAGAATGTGGAAGTTCCTCTGCGTTTAGGAGCAGCTTCTGAGCAGAAATGGAGAGCAAACCTTTTCCTTCTCCCCCTGTAACACATTGCTGGGCAATCTCTGTGAGGAAATCTTAGTGGAGGTTGCATCACAAAAAGCCCACTCCTAAAGCTAAGTCGGAGCATGTGGCAATATTGCCTCAGTGATTTAATTGCTATGTTTCTTCAATAGCAATTGTTCTTTTGCATTAAGGGCTATCGTATGCAACCTGGTTATTAGTTGGCTGAAAAACAGAAACGCTTTGTTTCTCTGAGGCATGTTACCTGATACACTGAACCTGCAGTTCCGTTTAAAAAATGTACTGGGAATTTTTAAACTGGTTTTTATGGTGGGTAAATTTTATCAAAATATTTGCTTTTATAAAAAGTATTTGAATGCTGTAGTACTTGGCCAGCTTTTCTTCGTATGGTTGAAGTAGTTCTTATGTATCTGGGCACAATTCACATTTTTCAGTCTATGCAAAACAGCATTTACACAAGTGCAGTATCTGCTTGTAGAGCGGGATGTACTGTGTTGCTTTGCAAGGACTCTGTTCTGTAGCCATTCTTTTGCTGCATTTACAAATTTGTTACCATTTGCTGCTCTTATTTGTTAGAGGAGCATTGCTGACCCCCGGCTGATCTCAGGGACATTCAATTGTTTCCTTCCTCTCCTGAATCTCTCTGTGATCCCTTCCTTTGTCTGCTTGACCAGAGCTGGGCAACAGCCTGGTGCTGTGGGGCTGGCCAGGGGACATCTCTCCAAAAAGCATTCAGAAAGGAACAAATAACTGGTTGCACTCTGTGCATGTTTGTGAGTGACTGCTCTTCTGGTGGTGTTACTGATGTGTGTATGGAGAACACAGTGTACGTGACAGAGGTGTAATGTCTTGCTATTCACTAACTTTCTATAAATATCCTGGAAGAAAATACTTGGCATTTCTGTGATGCCTGTTTTGGTGTTTCAGAGCACTTCTCCAGCACATCTCAAGTCCTACTGGAGACTGAAGGAGTACCTTGACTGAGGTTTTGTGCTCTGGTTTTGGGGCTACGTTTGCTAGCTGTAGTTGTGCTGATGACTGCATCCCACGTGTGGTTTAGCCCTCAGCTGCTTTGTGCCATGAAGGCAGGCTTAAGATTTCTCCTTGTGCTTTGACCACTCCATGGTAGGTAAACAGGCCAGGGCTGCAGGAAGGGGCAGGGAGCCCCATTTCGGTTGGGGCAGAGCCCCTGGGGTGCAGGCACTGCAAGGATGCAAGTGTGGGAGGATGCGAGTGGGCTCTGCACAGCTCAACCCCAGATGTCTCCTACCTTTGGTGTGCAAATAGGGGACCCTGCGAGCAGCCAGCATGGCTCCTTTCAAGTCCTCGCTCGGCTCCCGCTGTGCGTCTTTCCCCTCGGAGAGGAGCGTGCTCCAGTTTTGTTGTGTTTAAGTTACACCACCTTTTATATTTGGACAGATCAAAAACGGAACCCCAAACCATTTTCAGTTCACACAGCTACATAAGCAACTGGCTTGTAATTAAAATGT